TCCCAACCTCGTAGCTCAAGATTTTCCAGAAATTGACAAAATATATAAAGTAAGGTTTTATCCATAACCAGCTCCCGCACTTACCCCCTTGTACCAACTTCCAGCCCCAGCGCAAACTTCTCAAAAAATCGAATTCGAATATTCCGCGAAGCGAGCACGAATGCCCCTATAGCCCCGGGCATACTGCAGGCATTTCAGTGGCGGCGACGTGATTTGGCAATAGCCAAATTGTCCAAAACTTATTCTAGAAGTTAGAAAGTTGTACGCGGTAAACATTTGTGGTAAGCTGACGTTGCATTTGAAGACATCTCGTAGCTGGCAAATCGCGTACGGCGATCGTGACCGTCTAATCCTCCACTACAACTGCGATGCTCTTTACTCAAAATACACCAATTCGCAAAGAAATCTCTAAGGTAGCGAATAGAGGCAGTTGTGCAATATAACTTATGCGAGCAAAAGTGCTCACTGGTGTGGGCTTTGCGTACCACAGGCATGAGCAATGCAAAGAAAGAAAAACAAGCATTTTAAAACATTTTTCAATATATGAACTCGGAACATGAGCTTTCGATAGCTTCTTTGCTAATTTGGTGCCAATAGCTGTGCCAACAATCTCATTGATCGAAAAAGCATCAGTTGAAATCCACATATGATTTTTTTACTGTCGCAAGCAGTCGGAAGAATGCGACTCTCCATACAGTTCAAAGGTCATAACGGTTGCAAAAGATGCATTACCGAGTTTTGCGAAAAAAACGCGGACGAAGTGAGCTTGATACTTAGCAGTTGGCTCTGCAACAAAGTCGAATAATTTGAATACAGAGTTCATTCGAATACGAATTCGAATAAACATTCGAATAAAACATTCGAATAAAATCTATTCGAAACCCCGTGTTTTTATTATTCGAGTTTTCGAATAATATTCGAATCCTCGTTTTTTGATTATTCGAGTTTTCGAATTTTATTCGAAACCCTTTTTGATTATTCGAGTTTCGAATTTTATTCGAAACCCCGTTTTTTCAATTATTCGAGTTTCGAATATTATTCGAAAACAGAGGAACTCCGAATATCGAATATCGAATACGAATATATTCGAATGTTTTATTCGAATGATCGAATTTCTATTCGATTCGGACCCAAGTATACTCCCCACTGTGAATTCACACTCCCAGCTTCCGGAGCGATCTTCTCGCTTCCGGTTTCAAGTCAATCATTTGCCCTTGGCCGGTACCGATGTTAGAACGGCTAGCGGAATCGAGAACGCTTAGGAAGGTGGGAGCGTGAAGTTACAGTGGGGAAGACCTCGCCTACTTGCTGTTTCCCTCCTGCGCTAGAAACCCTTTTTGCCGTTTTCGCGCTTTCCAGCGTAGATTTTCGGATTCAGCATGGCGAGTAGGCCCGTATAAGCACAAAATATCAAAATCGAGTTTTTGCCCAGGCACTGCCTTTGAACTCCACAATAAGTGGTATATCTATTTGGTTTGGCAGAAGACCTGCGAATAATCTACTGTAAGAGGTCAGCTTGCTAACAGGAGCTGCTTTAAGATTCAAGTCCGCTGTTGGTGTTACATTGCGCATAGCAAATTAGTAAGAACTGTCATAAATCAAACAATGTGAGCGGACAGCTTTAAACAGACAAGAACTAATGTTTAAGAGGTCATAAGGTCGTCAGCTGCTTTGCTCTTAAGCGTCCACAGATTTATTATTATTTTGAGTACGTACAGGCAGTTGCTAGGATCAGTGTAAAGCAATATGGGAGCTAGCTGGATCACAGAGGGTGACGTCTTTCTGACGGATTTTGTCCTTCCAGATGATATTTGTAAAGTAGCTACATTGGGAGCAGGTCTAAACAATTATTAGATAAGCGGTTAAATTACAAGAAAACACAAAAATTGAGGCAACCTCAAACTAATGCTTAACAATAATAACTTCCGTGTAAGTATCCCCCTCAGAGATAATAACACTGGACGCGACTAAATCTATATATATATATATATATATATATATAACACAAAGTCTGTGAGGATGTTCGTTAGGTTGTTAGTGCTTTATAGAAACGCCAGCCGTTGAACCGATTGAGCTGAAACTCTGCACACGTATGTTTTCGACCCCGACGGCTGTTTAGGGCTACTTTTCGCGGCGATTCGCTGGACCCTTCTATCGATTTATTGATTGGTTTACTGAAATCCAGAAGAATGAAAACTTTGCATGCTTCCAGCGATCATTTTTCCATAAACATGTAAGCACGGGCGGTAGAGTCCATTTCTATCCCAAAGTCGGGAGGATGCGCCAAGTCGTCTCAAAGCGCTTTTCGCGCATGTTTGGAGAAGTTTAGAAGCGTAAGTTGACATATTTTGTTAGCTAAACTAATTTCGAGAGTCGGGTGAGGCTGGGGCTGTCAGCTAGTAATAACTAAAGTAGAAGAATCTCTTATTTACTTACGTAAAGGTGTGTCCCACACTTATGAATAAAATTCAAGTCCAGTTTTTAGTAAGAAATTTCTCTTGGAGAAGAAAAGTCGAATAAATTTGTGACTGATGAAATTTGTAGGGCATGTAATAGGTAATTCTCACTCGAAAGCCATTACCTACGTTTTGCACACCAATGCACATTTGCACTGGTAATTTTTTTGTAGAAAATGCTGCTAGAATGTGTTTAAGAACCTAGCTAAAGACTAACGGCGACCATGATATACCTAAACGATCAGAAAATATGCATTTTATTCAAAATTAAGTTGAGCGAGCTAATTACGTATTTTATTCAACTGATTTAGGGATCTGGGACTGCTCGCGCGGACTATAAGTTTATCTTTGAATAATTTAATCAAAGATCATTAGTTTGGATGATGTATTTTTTTCGGTACCTTTTTCTTTTCTGGAATTTTAGATCCTCATCCATAAAAAGTTGTTTTGTTTAATAATCGCTGCATACTATTAGTTGGTTATACTATCAAAAAAATTAAAAATGACTCACTCATTCGTTCGTTGTGACTTTAGGTGGCGTTGTTGTCGATATGGTGGGAGGAAGGGAGGGGAGGGAGGGGGGGGGGGGAGGGAGGAGGAATTTTCAAAGAAATTGTTGATTAGTGCTCAAAAAAATCTCCCCGGGATCTCCATGTCAGGATAAAGGTTAGCTACACCTTCACCTGAGGTGTAGCGGGGTTACATTACTTACTATAATATTTATTAATCAAGATATATCAGAAAGGTCATTCGTTCGTTGTATACAGAAAGGTAAAGAGGAAAGGGGGAAGAGGGCACCGGCTCCTGCCGGCGGGCGGAGACTACTAGAGATTGGCTGTCTTCGGCCAACTCCCTTCTCAAGCAGCTCTTGTAGCTAGTTGCGTCCCGACAAGCGTGTTGAGAGGCACATAATCTTGGCAGATGTCCACGGTTTCAACTTATGGCAACATAACATTCTTTGATAGATAAAATGCTGACTTATCCGGCCTTTCCGCGCGCTGACTGTAACTCAGTAAATTGAGTACTGCATATTTTGATGCAGTCTGTTCTCTCAAATATTCTCGCCCAAACTGTTGTAACGTATAAATAAGTCTCCGTTTGTTTCGAAAGTTTGGTATTTGGTAAAATTTGATATTCTGCCAGATGGTATGTGCTCAAATGTTAAACATCTCAGGTAGCCTCCCTTTTTCTCTCTAGGCAGTTTCACATAATTCTAATACAACTGCTTACCTCACAAAGCTCATAGTAGTGGCACTAACACGCAAAAAGAGTACCACGCAATAATATGTCAGACTAGCCGGTATAACCGGCTTCATCGGTTCTGCTAATACCCCATCATAAAAATCGCCAGTTCTATTTCCGTACATCACCCTATCCCGCTCCACCTCTATATGCCAGCACCCCGCTTCCATTATATTTTCGACTTCTCCCACTGCCAACTCCCAACCCGGTAGCTCAAACATTGCAAAAGATCAATAAAATCGGTAAAGTTAGTCAAAAAATCTCAATACTGACATTGTATTCATAATTAGGATGCTAGTTTACCCCCCTCCCCTCCCCTGCGCCATGCCAACTCCCAGCCTCGTAAAACTTTGCAAAAATTCTATAAAATCGATATTGATCGATAGCGGAAAGTATGGTTCATATTGCTTCGGAAATCAGAATTTCCGTTTGGAACATACGTAAAGACGTAAGGAGTAAGGAATACCATGAAACAGACATTCAGCTTTATATATAAGACTAGCTGGCTTGCCCGGCTCCGCCGTATGTTCCGAATAGAAAATTCCATTTCTTAACCGATCCGGACCAAACTTGGCACACATACCCTTCGGGCCCCGGCGGGTGTCACAGTCCACTTTTCGTTATCGATCGATGTTGATCGAGCATGCTGATCACCCCCACGGGGGTGATCAGCATGCTCGATTACCCCCCCGTGCCAAATCCCAGCCCCGTAGCTCAAACTTTGCAAAAAAATCGATAAAATTGATAAAAGTAATGCACGATTACAAAAACTAATATTGTATTCGGAATCCCCATGCTCACTTATCCCCCTGTGCCAACTCCCAGCCCCGTAGCTCAAATTTTGTAAAAAATCGATAAAATCGATATCGATCGATGACGAAAAGTAGCCTATGACACGCGCCGGGGCCAGAAGTGTATGTGTGCCAAGTTTGGTCCGGATCGGTTCAGAAATGGAATTTTCTATTCGGAACATACGTACACACAGACAGACATACAGACAGACAGACAGACAGACAGACAGACATACATACAAACAAACATTCAGCTTTATATATAAGATAACTCTCCTTCCCCTCTCCCCTCCCTCCTCCTAGAATTTTAGCCGAAGTAAGCCAAGAATTCGAATGATGCGAGCTGGATGGTGAATTACCGAAAAAAATTGTTACTTTGCTTGCTATTTTATCTTATATTACTATAAACACGACATAAAGATTTGCTGAGAGCTGCGCTAGATATTAGTCCAGTTCTTGTGTAACAAATGAAAATTCAGAAAAGCCAACTTCTCAATGTTTCCTTTTTTAGGTGTACAGTACACAGACTAGAAACGCCATCATCAGCGATGCATTCGCAGCTGCACTCATCGACAAAGTTAACTATACAACGGTCTTCGAGCTTCTCAGATATCTTGAGAATGAAACGGTACCACTTAGCTTTGTTGATCGTACCGCAAAACTTTACAAAGTCCTAAATTTGACTTGGTGGACTTTTGGTACCAGAACATTTGAACGAGATGTAGGGGAATCAAGAGGTGCTTATGACATTTTCAGGACTATCTGCCATGGGAGGAAGCCCTGACCTGTTTCTCCTCAGTACTAGCTTACTTCGGCAACGAGCCAGAAGCCGAGGCAGTTCAAGTAATTACTAGTCCGATAACATACTGGCAGTTTTCAGCTTTCTCTTTCCAGAAGTACATGGTCAAGCTGCTGAAACCCATTTACATGAAAAGCTCTTTTGAGCATCTCAGTGCAAACTACAAAAACGACACCTTGTTCTTTGAAAAGTAAGTTTAGGTTGAATCTTGTCTAACAATAAACAAGGTCAATCGTTGTCGCTACGATGGTACCTATTTTGATGTATGCGAAAAAAGAAAGGCACCAGATAGAGTCAGGTGATGGCAGGAACCTATGATTTTCAAATCTCAATTTTGACAAAACTTGTATGTGTAAGAGAGTAGCCAACTATTGTTTCTTTCAGTGTCCTCGAACAAAGAATATTGGAAGCATACTGCTCCCTGGGAGGTCCTGGCTGCGCTGCTAAGTACAAAAAATTGTTCGATGAGCAAGTCGTAGCTAAATGTAACGGAGCTGGACAAATGACCAGCAAATGTGCCAACAGGTACCTCTGTCAGCCACGGCTCTACAGACCACGCAAGTCCAAATTTTAGCCTAGCTGCACCGCTTCGGGCGAAGACCTACTGTTATGGAATCAAACTGGGTAACGATTCAGAGTTTGAGATGGTAAGCGCTTAGAAAGCTTCATTCGCGGCTGACAGATTGGGAACAAAAATAACGATTTGATGTGACGTAAATATCTTTTAGATGATGAAACTCTACGAAGCTGAAAGCGTGGCATTGGAAAAAGATATTCTTCGCCGTGCTTTAGGATGTCGCAACGATGTCACGGCTTTGAAAAGGTAAAAAATCATATCAGGCAGGAGCGAAGAATTAGTTTTTTTCTTTTTTGTTGATAAATCAGGATCTAAACACATAAAAGCCACTCGTTAGACAGGCGCTATACTCCTCGAAGTAGAGCACCCCTCCGACCGATCTGCATCAACTACGTGTAAAATCGGCGATTTTTCGCTGTATTGGCGATCAATCGCTACGACTGGCGATCGCCAGTCTCATACTGGTAACAGCGATGGTCGTCGCCAATACTGGCAATCGCACTTCACATAATTATTGATCGCTAACAAGTTACCACACGTCAAAGCGATACTACTGAAAGTGTGGCGCCAAAACTAGCGATAGCCAAGCTAACGCCAATTGCCAGTGTTGGCGAGTCCACGTTGAAGGCTTATCAATTAGACATGTGGTAACATGTGGTAACTTCATAGCGATCGATAAGTATTCATTCCATCATCAAACAGGCGGACGGGGCTACACTCGAAGAGTATTGCAACCTCGTCACCGATCGTAGCGTAGCGATCGCCAGTCGCTGATGTTGGCGAGCAAAAAATGGTACAGGCCCCGTAAAATCCAATTGCCCACGCGTCGCTTTGAATGCCAAGGCGCGGCGCGGCTGGGAACGTATGGTCCCGAAGCGCTACAGGCTTTTTACGAGCGACAGTGAGCGCGCACCCTTTCCACACATATTTTTTTAAACTTGTGAAGGGAGCTTTCGTCAAGATATGCCTTGCATTGAAAGCTAAAGAAAAACAACATGAAAGCTAAAGAAAAATTTCCTGGAATTTAGTGAACGCCGACAGTCGTTCGCGACGACCGCTCGCTTACGCTGGTATTCAAGGCACGGCGTTACATCACTACAGTCAAATATGTCGCATTGTATGATGGTCTCCACGATTCGTGTAGAGGTGTATTGCAGACTTTGCCTGATAACACAGGTAAACTTGTTAAACCTCTACGTCATACCATTGTTTTTTTGTACTCCCTCGCTATCAAAAACCGCCACGCTTTGAGTTGGCAAAACCCTGCCCCTACACGAATCGTGGAGCCGATGATAAAGAAAGCATGATTAAGGCATGTCAGAATGAAGCACATGATGCTCAGGATGACCATGCTTTTGTCGCTGACAGTTCACCGCCCAGACAGAATGAAGTTATCTAGTGCACAGCCATTAACGACAAAAGAGCATTATTACAAAAATATCTGCACCGTTGCAATCAAATTTGAGGCATGCAAACAGGTTTGTGAGCAACTGACCTGCGACATAAATAGCTAGAAACCGTCAAAAACAGGAAAAGTTGGTTGAGCAAGACATTGAGGTGCATGCCACATATTGTAAATCCTGATTCGATCTAGAAACAAAAAACAAAGAAATACTTTGGAAAAAAAGCTATTGATCAGCTTTTGATAGCGACTATAACTGGCGACGTCGAAGGCAGTGATGTGTGATAATGGTCACCGCGCTTTGGACGAACTCGACGTGCTCGTGCTCTAGTCGCGTGCACCGCCCACGCAAATCCCAATTTCCATGTTTTTGTCGTTCTGGGCCCTTCTCATATCCCTGATTTCGAATATTAAGTCAAGAATTTGCGAAAACTCAACAATCCCGGTTCCGTAGAACCTGCAGGGCGAGTTTTCAACGGTGATTGATTGGGTACCTGATGGCGGGACGAACGTCACGCCCATTCATTGGGGAGGAGCCAGTGTGGCGCATCTGTCATCTAAAGTGATTTTCGAAGCAGTTTTCTCACTTCGGAAGTTCTTTTGGCAGTTCGAGTTATGCAAGTTACAATTGGGGGCCCCGCTACTGTTGGCATCAAAATCTTGTGGACCCCATTTTGGATCGGTGCCTGTTGCGGCTCGGTGGGCTCTGCGCCCCCTCACCTAGCGCTCGACTGTCTTGCGCCGCAGCTCCTGTCCCCAGAGGACTTCCGCGGTTGCGTGTGGGCCTTGCCCACAACGGCGCGTTACGCCTACACTGCACACGAAACAATAAACATACATAAATTTACTAAATAAATATGCACGAAAAATACACGACATAAATAAATATAAATATACTTACCACGGGGAGAGTTAAGCTCTACCCCGGGCTACCGATGGGGACTCTAGCTTACTCATACTCACACACTAACACACTCTCACACTCTCCCGGCATCCAAGGGAGCTACCCACAGGCCGGCCGCGCGCCGTCAAGGCAGCAGCTACGGCACGGCAACACCGACCTCATGATGTTAACCAGCAGCATCGAACCAAGCTTCCAACGAATCCTGCGCGACCAAGGCGCTTCGTGATGTTCATCATCCTGGAATTCTATCCTCGCGCGTCCATCCAAAGGATCCGTCGACGATCCATACAATCGCGCGAGGCACGGGGACGTAGACACGACGGCGATATCGTGGAAACCCAACCAATCAATAAAGCGGCACGACGATAGTAGTAAGATGATAAGACGAGAGAGGCCTCAATGGCGCGCGTGCGCGCCGTTTATAGCAGTGGCTGGGGGCGTGCCTACGTGGTGTGGTCTCGGAGCGAACAAGGTAGCCGCCGTAAAGCGCGGCGACCGTGCTCACGACCGAGACGCGCGGCAACACGGTGCTTCCGGCCACATGCTGTGAGGAGCGGTCGGTCGCGAGCCGCGACAGTGCCTTAAAAGGCGGCGTCCAGGCACATCTGGACATATGGAGATCTCACGCGAAAAGTAATTTTGGGACGTTAACTAAGACACTGCCACCTGCAGCTCAGATGGTGTTGTATATACTTGGGACCGAATCGAATAATTATTCGATCATTCGAATAAATCATTCGAATGCGAATGATTCGAAAAGTCGAATATTCGAAAATCTGAGATTTCGAATAAAATTCGAAAGTTGAATATTCGAAATTTTCAGTTTTCGAATATATTCGATAGTCGAATATTCAAAAATCTTCATTTTCGAATATTATTCGAAAGTCGAATATTCGAAAATCTTAACTTTCGAATATTACTCGATAGTCGAATATTCGAGGGTCAATCATTCGATCATTCGATGTCCATCAAATATTCGAATATTCGTTGAGGACCGAATATTCGGAAATTCGATATGAACTGACTTTTCGAAAATTCGATAAGTACAGAATATTCAAAAATTCGATATGTATAGCGTATACGGGGTGTCTTGAAAGTATCTACGCACCGTTTGATCGCTAGTACCTCTCAAAGTCTTTTGCCATTTCTGGGTATATCCAGTAGGGATGGCTTCAGCTTATAAATACAGCAGAAAGCGAATCACCAATGTTTTTCATATTATGCATTATCACAGGAGGAAACTCCAGCACATAGACCAACTGCAAAATAAGACATCCAAAAAAATGTCCCCAAAAAAGGTCTAAAATCTGTGCAGCAGTGTTTTTACGTATGGTAATTTTACTACGCACAGTTTTCAAGCTTTTCAAATGGGCATCACATTTTTGAAAGACGTTGTCAAACACTTGTTATGGTGTACCTGGCGTAGGTTTTGAGAAAGCATTACGGTTGAGTGCAAATTCTACATAAAGTGTCTTTGGAAGTCTAATGCAAGACTTCCGGCCCTCTTGATTCTTTCCCTTGGGGAAATGGCTCTTCATCTTGCGAAACCCGCTTCGATCTTATAGTAATTTTACAACAGTGAAAAGCGATTGATAAATCGCCCCATACTCTAATTTGATGTCAGCCCACAGATCTACATACTGTTGGGACCGCTGTATATCCAATCGCAACTCTCAGTGAGGGTATATAATCTTCTTTGAAGTACGAACAATCTCTTTACAACCGTCACAGGAGTAGCTTTTAAGTTCCTAAGTCTCTTCAGGTCACGACTAAACCGTTTTTCCATCGTAAATTGTACCATAAGAATGTGTCCATTCTTAGCACTTACATGAAACAATTTATTCTTAGTGTTTTGGCCTTTCATAGGCAGTCTCAATGACGTAAATTATTCGAACTGTATTCGAAAATCGAATGATATTCGAAAACCGAATAACATTCGAGAACGAATGATATTCGAAATTCGAATAACGAATGATATTCGATATTCAATTATTATTCGATTCGAAATTTCCATTTTCGAATAATATTCGATAATCGAATAGTCGGAATTTCCAGTTTTCGAATAATATTCGAAAGTCGAATATTCGAAATTTTTAATTTTCGAATAAAATTCGATAGTCGAATATTCGAGAATTTCGATTTTCGAATATTATTCGATATGCGAATATTCGAAATTTCCAATTTTCGGATATATTCGATATTCGAATATTCGAAAAAAATTTCGAATTTCCCCAAGTATAGTGTTTAACGTCTGAGATATTCGCCTCCAAACTGAACCCCATTATCGTATTTCGCATGGATTCATGATTTTCGCGCGACACATTGGTTTCGCGTGGGTCCTCGCGCAACTGATGGTTGCGCCATATAGTTGTAACGAACGGGAATTTTCATCGAATGAACGAATATCGAATAATTGATTTTTGAAAGTTTCTCGAACGAATCAATATCGAATATGATTTTCGAAAAATTTTTGAATGAACGAATATCATTCGATTTCCGATTTCCATATTATTCGAACATTCGAATATGGGCACATTCCAAAATTCGAATGGACGAATGTTCGAATAACTGAACTTGATCCAATATTCGAATATTCGAATAATCGAATACTTGGATATGATCGAATGCAATATTCGAATATTCGGGTGCAATAGTCGAATATTCGAGTTTCGAGTATTCGAACAACAGTTCTCAAAACTTCTCGAATAATCGAATACTCGAATAACCGTTTTTTTTAATTCATCGAGTAACCGAATATTCGAATAAGTTATTATTCCAAATCGTCGAATGAACGAATTATTCGAATAAAGACCTTTTTCATTCATTCGACTATTCGTATAATCGAATAATCGGAATTTCTCAAATATTCGACTATTCGAATAATCGAGTAATCGGAATTTCTCAAATATTCGACTATTCGAATCTTCGAATAGTCGAATATTTCGAATAAATTATTCGAATACGAATATTCGGTTCCAACTATATTGCGCCATGAATCTGTGTGAAACACGATCCTGGGGTCCAGTTTGGAGGCATATATCTCAGTTATATTAGTGAGTCACGTGCGCTGCCGCTTGGGCAGTGCCTTAGAAAAGGTCCCAAAATTACTTTCCACGTAAAATCCCCATAGGTCCAGATTTGCTTGGACGCTGCCTTTAGTGAGCGAATTCATCTCCCCCTGGGTGCACTGTTCTCCTTTGTCTGCCCAGCTTCGCCGAGGTTTATACTGGGTTCATTCATCTTATGTGCCCAAGAAGGAGCTATAAATACCTCACGATGACCATAGATTCTACCCGGCGGCCGTGATAAGGAATAACCCGGTAAAGCGCGGCTCACAAACGGCTGCTTTGTTTCAACGTCACCATCAACTAGTCGAGGGCAATTACTAAGGGTCCTTGTGTCAGCGACAAAGATCTCTTTTAACCGCGTTTTTTGAGGGCGCAAAGCCATAATCACAATTTTTCCACATGATGTATGTTCTGAGTTGCCTTTGGCTTCTATTAATGTCTAACTAACAATAGGTAAACTTCGAAGATAAGGGGGACATTAGATAAACGAGACTTGAAGTAAAGTGAGAACCAGCATTAGCAGAAATTTCTTCAAATCGAGATTCACAAAGTCCATTCCAGGCTTATGTTGTTGGCGCTCGATCGAAACTCCACATTTGTGCGCCTCCAAGACGCCAGGGACATATTCTCCGCAGTTGCCGAAAATCCAATTGGCCAGGAGATAATATTCAAATTTTTGATTGAACGATGGGACCAGATCTACGACGGGTTAGTGTGCGATTGTCAGTCAAATTTCCCCTATTATCACAATTTCTCTTTTAGGCTAATGCCAGAACACAGAGCCATTGGTAAAACCGTCATGTCTGCATGTAGCGGAGTACGTTCAAAACATCAGATAGAGCAGGTAAGCAAGGTTGGACAAAAAGAGTGAAAGCGCATACTTCAATCTCACCTTGAGCTTATTTTTCCTTGTGTGGAATAGGTCAAACTACGCTTATCCTTTTTTACAGATCCAATATCTGAAGAAGAACGGCAAACACGCAAAAGAATTTGGCGATTTTGACGCCGCGATTGAACAAGCGGAATTCAGAATCAAATGGATTGAGAAGCACTTCCGCTTCCTATCCAACTATTTCAAATCCCTTGCCGCTTGAAGTTCTCATTCACTTAGGTTACGATTCATAGGCATTGTATGTGAAAACTTCCTGCATACTTTTCTTTCTCACTTTGCTTTTGATATGAACATGTTGAACATGTCTTTTGCGCTTGTTAACAGTCGTCTATTGCTTGAAATTATTTCAAATTATTTCTATGTCAATTTCACTCTCATTTCGTCGTCTGTATCCAAGTGGTTTTCAATTTTCTACATATGTGCCAAATGTTGTAATTGCTTAAAATTCTGCTAATACACTCGATTCTTTAAAACTAATCTATCTGTTTTCTCAAGTTCAACTCAATAAAGCAGATAGATCACTCTAGTTCAATAAAGAATTAATCATTTCTGCTTCATATTGTTTCTCGAAAAATGCCTTGAAATATTTTCAAAAACAAAGTAAGCTCTCCCGAAGAGATAGGATCGTTGAATCTGCAGTCACAATAGCCAGGGTCATAAAAAAGATGTAAACTTGGCTTTCCGATAATCCTTCTGCAGAGAGAAAATTGCCAGCAGCAAAAAATAAGTGCTCCTCTACTTTTTGAAAAAAAAGATGTAAACTTGGCTTTCTGATAATGGCCCGTAGTAAACCCCCCCCCCTCCCCCTTCAGGGGATCTGCCCTGAGACGGACCTGAGTTGATCGTATGGCACCTCGGTCTAGCATCCCGCGAGCTATTGATCTGGATGCGGATCGCTTTTCAGGCATAAAAATCCTGCGCGCTATCAAAGAGAAAACAACTACATCTCTTGTGCAGGTTTGGTCAAATAGGTATGTGACTGGTACTCAGCCCGCACGAACGTGGTTCGGCGCCGGACAGCGGCGAGTTTTTGCGCACCACTGAGCAATCTTTGATAGCGGCCACCATCGAAGAAAATCGATGACGGCCGCTATCAAAGAATCCACAAACCAGATGAATACACAAAACAAGACTGCGTTTTTTTCAACCAAAATTTCATCAAAAATTGAGGAAGTAGAGACAAAATCGAATGGAAATAAATAAAGAGATGTCGCCTGAGTAGCTGAGCAGCTTTTGTAGAAATAATCTAAGCAAACTCTGCAAAAAGGAAAAAACATATTCTTCTGTTTTTTGCCGAAATCAGCTATTCATTGATCCTTTCTTGGGCACCGGTATTGTGCAGGTTTGCTCGTTCTTGTACTGCAACAATACGTCAAGTACGATGTCCCGTAACCTACTCACGAGCAACTTACGGGATTTTTCTCTACGTCTCATCCCTTGCACACTATTTCGGTCAATTTATCTCAAAATCGAGGCTGCTCTTACGGATTTCAGGTGAATTCATCGCGGCACATGCCCTGACGCTGGCCCTTCAGATCAGGTCGCATTCTTAAGCATGTGAGAGTGACCGCTAGTCAGTTTATCTTAGATACCTCAACTCAGCCCCTCAGTTGAAATCACCTGAAGTGAAGTGGGGTTTACTACGGGCTAATCCCTCTGTAGAGAAAAAATTGCCAGCAGCAGAAAAGTGCTCCACTACTCTTTGAAGAAAGTCCTGTTACAATTTATATTGTTCAGTTTTTGTGAATTTTTGTCTTTGAAGCAAGTAGCTCCTAACCAATCTTGTTGTAGTAAGATTTCCTTTGTTCATTGCCCATACTTCTAAAATCTCTTATGCTAGAATATGAGCACAATTCGAAGGTTTTCAAGGTATCAGCACAAACTGCTGAATACCATTTGCACACCGTACAGGGTAGAACACGACGTAGAGACAATATAAGACTCTTTACTGTAGAAAAGAACACCACAACTCCATTTGCAAAGCGATTTTATACAATGGAGTATACATTAGGCTGTAATATGTTTCGTGAGGAATGTATTAGGGTGATCCAAAAGTAATGGGGCACTTAGAGAATAAATGCAGTTTTCTCAAATAGAAAAGCTAATTGGAAGTCTAAGCTTTGGCAGATGTTAGTACATAACAAAACCTTCTGATCGAGGTCTATAGTTGGGCTGTCACGTGGCGTTAATTTTATAAGCGCTTGAAATCAACGCACATCACTTCAAGTAATTTTGAACTCTGAGCAGCAGCTCCGCAGTAAAACAAGTGAGCCTACCAGAGATATCTGCGCAGCAATGGGTGAGAGGACTGTCACCAAATCCACGATAGCTCGGTGGTTTCAAGGCTTTAGAACAGAAGATATAGCGTTGGGTATCAGGAGACATATTACTTATCATCAAGCTAATCAAATAAGCTCAACCTTAACAGTTGCTTTCTGATAGTGCTTTTTACGCTCTATCCATATATATGCAAATTACTTCGACTTTTCTCATTTTCAAAAAATTATGGGCCAATACATGAATTTTAGTCTGAAAATCTGCGCCAAACACCGCACTTTTTCGAATAAAGTGCTTTTTTGTATAAAATAATGGGCAATTTTTGAATATTCAAGTAATCATTAGAAAGGGCTTGGAAAGCTTTTTCGAATGGTGTGCCATATGTCGAGGGACTTTCAGATGCAGCAGCACAAATTCGGATGGCGTTCAACAAAGTCTGTCTGACTTCTTTAGCGCCGCTCGAAGGAATGTCGGTGAGGTGCTGCAAGGTGCTGTCAAGATAACCTTCGAAGGTCACTTTGCACAAGAGCGTTCAAATTGCTGGTTGTTCATAGTTAATTCAGAAAGAGATCTTGAAAAATGTTCAAAAAATCAAGGTACCCCATTACTTTTGGATCACCCTAATAGAAAACTACGACACCCAACAAGGCTACAACATCCTCGAAATCTACGTACACATGCTATGAATTTACCGAAAAGAACGGATTGGTCTGCATTTTCTGAATTTGTTCTATCTGTAGAAATTTCTCCTCAAACTAGAATGCAAACACCACATGTAGCCCTTGCTCAAATTGGCGAAAGAATTCTATACCTGTGGAAAGAAAACTATCAGGTAAGAGTGCTTTGAGTGTTGTTAATGTACAAAGAGGCTTTGCACTAGACTCTTAATGCGATCAGATTAGGTGCAATATATTCTGAACGTGGAACAGAGGTCAGATAACAAAGTAATGAATCACGATTGGAGCGGCTCGGTGCCGACTATTTCAACTACCGTGCGATAGTTCTAAATCTTCTGTTTTAGAATTTCCATGAGATTTGTAAAGGCGAGAACTATGCAAAAAGCAATCGGGCTTACATGACTTCTACGAAGTTCTAGAAATTCCAAGCTTTTTACAGCCAACCATAACTTGAGCACAAAATTTCCCGCATTCTTCTCAAACTCAGGGCTTCCTCCCCCCTCTCTCTCTTCCGAAAAGGTGGCTGTGGCATCTGTCTCATTGAAGCTCGTTGTGAAAGCGATCACGCTGAGGTGGTGCTCAAGAGCTAGCCCATCTTTTGCCAAATGTTTAGCTATCATCGCTGTTATTTACGCAGTATAGGTGTCTTAAGAAAGGCGAAAGCTTCTTATGTAAGAAAGTTATTAGATATCAAACTAGCAGGCACCGACAACAATATACCTTAGTGTGGTTTTATCACAAAGCTCAAGAAGCGATTGATAATCAAAAAATGATGAACTCCGAATGTAGCAAAGCTGGGTGCGTCCCAAGCGGCCATTCAAATTGTCTAAACAGATGAAAGCATTTACTTGTGCCCTGTTTCCAAGGACATCGATTTTAGCCTGAAAAAAAACTAATGCAAGCAGCATTTTTTCTTTTCAACGTATTACTTCATGAGTCTGACAAATGATAAAGGTTGGCATTTTTAGGAGTAAATGTTTTGGTCACTGTTCAGTGGAAAGGAAGCAGTTTATTCCACAAAAAGATGAATGAAAGCATGTGCCAGAAGTTCATACCAAAGCTCAACCGTTTGAGGGACAAACTGATACTATGACTACCAAATTATTATTAATATTATAGAAAAAGCATTTATTAAGTCGTCCCGAAAGTTCTTGCGCACGATTTTCAAAAATTCATAACTTCTGATTTCCAACCCATTTGTCTGCTCTTATTTTTATATGAAAGATTAAGTCATGGTCTTTAGAAGGACTTCTTAGCTGCTTACTAATGGTCATCTGTTGCTTTGATAGAAGCGATAGAAGAAAATTGGTCAAAATTCGAACTTTCTGTGTAGGGTCATAAAAAATCGGAAACTTGCAACAAAAATCGGAGCAGTCGGTATTGTGGGTTTTTTCACTAGCTCTTTCTGACAGTGCAAAGTTTGCGCCGATTGAGCGTTGCTATGAAAAGTTACGATTTTTCTGAAAAATGCCAAATTAAATCAAATTCGCTCTTTTGTATTGCCTGCTCGAAAATCATAACTTCTCATAGAGACGCTCAATCAGCGCAATCTTTGAACAGTTAGAAAGAGCTAGTGAAAGAACCTACAATACCGACTGCTCCGATTCTTGTTGCAAGTTTTTTATGACCCTACACAGAAAATTCGCATTTTGACTGATTCTCTTCCATCGCTCCTATCTATGCAACAGATGACCACTAATAAGCAGCTAAGATGTCATTACAAAGAGCATAAATACTCTTCCATACAAAATTGAACACAGTCAAATCGGTTGGAAAAATCAGAACTTATGAATTTTTGAAAATCGTGCGCAAGAACTTTCGGGACGACCTAATAATTTATCCATTTTTGCCTTTTCGCACTATCATTCAGCATTCCCAGACAAGAAATAGCTCCATTTACTGAGGTTTACAACAATCTTTGCTTATGAGAAACTGTGTACACAATGACATGATCGAAATGAAGGGTACTCTTTTTTCCAAGGTATAGAATATTGCCATAACAATAAGACTGTTCTTTCAAGCTTTTGTTTGATTGTACAATTTCAACTAAGTAATTGACTCGATGCTATCAATTTTTCGCACAATTTTCTATGCTCTTGTACCTATTACAAAGGTAGCTGTGCTTTTTGTCATTTACAAAAAAACGTAGTCCTATGCCAATCTGTACTAATTATCTATATCGAAAGAATGCTACTTCCACAGCGTCAGAAGGAGCGTAACATCTAGAGGCTGTTGAAGTGCAAACAGCTGATTCCCGCACTTTGCTTCCATTCCATGGTTGCAGATCTTCGCTCTCATGAAAAGCCTCCTACATACACACGCACATCTCCGCACTTCATTTTTTGTGCCCTATTTGTTTGCTTAGGCAGACGCGGATCATATGCCAGATTTGCTTGCTTTCGATTGATTTTTGATTTCGATGCTTTCGGTAAGTATGTTTTGTTTAAGAAGCAAATGACGGTCAAGTGGCTATCGGCTAGCGAGCATCGTCTGAGCAAAATCGGCTGGCGTTACTATTATTAACCCACTTGATGAGAAGAATACTCC